ATATATGTTTTTGGGAGGAGATTTCCACTGTCCTACTCATGCTGCCATCTTGGCTCCGCCTCCCTCAGCAGAAACTTTTACAGACCAGAGGGAGCTGCATGAAATATTTAATGTATTGAAACAGAAGGACCTTCAACCAAGAACCCTCTGCCTAGCAAGATTATCATTCAAATTGGAAGGAGAGATTGAACATTTCCCAGATAAATGAAGGCTGAAGGAACTTATAACTGCTAAACCATCATTACAGGATATGTTAAAGGGAACTTCTGTGGATGGAAATGTTCTTAAGCCTACGTAGTTTTCACCAGTGAAAATAACCCCACACAGTAAAGGGAGTAGACCAATTACTTACCAAGCAAGTATGACATAAAACAAAAGTAGTAAAACCAACTGCATGCAAAATCAGTCAAAGGGTACATACACACTGAAATGCAGTTTATGACATCTAATAAACTATGGAGGAGGAAGTAAAAAAAATACTTTTAGACTGTGTTTGACATAGAGCAATCATCAGCTTAATGTAGACTGTTATCTAGTTAGGAATCTATCAATGAACCTTATGGTAACCACAAACCCAAAGCCTGTAGTACACAAAAATTTAAATAGGAGAAATCCAAACAACACTAAAGAAAACCATCAAATAACAAGAGAATAGTATAAGAGAGGGAGAAACAAACAGAGGAACTACAAAAACAACCAGAAAACAATCAATAAAATGCAGTAAGTACATACCTATCAATAATTACTTTCAATGTAAATGGACTGAGTTCACCAATCAAAAGACATAGAATGGCAGAATGGATTTAAAAAAAAAAGACCCTTCTGTGTGCTGCCTACAAGAGACTCATTTCAGACTCAAAGACATAGGCAGGCTGAAAGTGATGGGATGGAAAGAGATATTTTATGCAAATAATAGGAAAAAGCAGGAGTAACAGTACTAATATCAGACAAAATAGACTTCAAATCAAAGAAAGTAGCAAGAGACAATGACATTGTATAATGATAAAGGGGCCAGTCCAACAAGAGGATGTAACCATTATAAATATCTGTGTACCCAGCCCAGGAGCATCTAAATATGTAAAACAGATACTAACACAATTTAAGGGGGAAATAGTTTGGGACTTACTCATTTTAGGAGACTTTAATACACCACTCACATCAATAGACAGATCAACCAGACAGAAAATAAATAAGGAAACAGAGGCACTAACAACACACTAGATCAGATGGACTTAACAGATTCTTTATCTACAGAACATTCCACCCAAAAGCAGCAGGACACACATTTTCCTCAAATGTACATGGAATGGTTATCAGAATGGATCACATATTAGGCCATAAAAAGAGCCTCAATAAGTTCAAAAAGACTGAAATTTTGTCAAGCTTCTCAGACCATAATGGTATGAAACTAGAAATAAATTACACTAAGAAAACAAAAAAGCCCACAAACATTTGGAGGTTAAACAGCATGCTTACAAATAATCAATGGATTAATGAAAAAATCAAAACAAATCAAGCATCATATGGAGACAAATGAAAACAAAAATACAACAGTCCAAAATGTGTGGGATGCCACAGAAGCAGTTCTGAGAGGGAAGTATAATACAGGCCTACCTCAAGAAAGAAGATCAATTCCTAATAAACAATCTAAACTCACAAAGAAATTAGAAAAAGAGGAACAAATGAAACCCAATGTTAGTAGGAGGAGGAACATAATAAAGATTAGAGCAAGAATAAACAAAATAGGAAAACATATCAGTGAAACAAAGAACTGCTTCTTTGAGAAAACAGAATAGACAAATCCCTAGTGAGACTTATCAAGAAAAAAAGAGGATAGAAAGAAAATCAGAAATGGAAAAGAAGTTGCAACTGACACCACAGAAATACAAATAAATATTAGAGAATTATTTGAAAAATTACATGCCAATAAATTGGACAACCTAGAAGAAATGAACAAATTCCTAGAAAAGTACAACCTTCCAAAATAGACCCAGGAAGAAACAGAAAATCTGAACAGACCAATTACCAGTATAAAATTGAATTGGTGATCAAAAAACTCCCAACAAAGAAAAGTCCATTACTAGATGGCTTCACAGCTAAATTCTATCAGGCATTTAAAGAAGAGCTAATATCCATCCTTCATAAAGTATTCCAGAAAGTAGAAGAGGAGGGAATACTCTCAAACTCATTCTGTAAGGCTAGCGTCACTCTAATACCAAAACCAGACAAAGATACTACAAAAAAAAAAAATATTTTAGACCAATATCCCTGATGAACATAGATGGAAAAATCCTCAACAAAATATTAGCAAACCAAATTCAAAAATACATCAAAAGGATCATCCATCACAACCAAGTGGGATTTATTCCAGAGATGCAAGGATGGTACAATATTTGTAAATCAATCACTGTGATACCCCACATTAATGAGAAGGATAAAAATCACATAATCATCTCAAAAGATGATTAAAAGGCATTTGACAAAATTCAACATCCATTCATGATGAAAAAAACTCAACAAAATGGGTATAGAGGGTATGTACCTCAACATGATAAAGGCCACATATGACAAATCCACAGCTAACATCATGCTCAATGGTGAAAAGCTGAAAGCTTTTCCTCTAAAATCAGGAACAAGAGAGGGATGTTCACTTTTACCACTTTTATTCATCAGAACTGGAGGTCCTTGCTATAGTAGTCAGACAAAACAAGAAGATAAAAGGCATCCAAATTGATAAGGAAGAAGTTAAACTATCACTCTTTGCAGATGACATGATATTATATATAGAAAAGTCTAAAAATTCCACCAAAAAACAGAACTAGTAACTGGATTCAGCAAAGTTGCAGGATACAAAATTAATACACAGGAATCTGTTGCATTCCTATACACTGACAATGAACTAGCAGAAAGAGAAGTCAGGAAAACAATTCCATTCACAGTTGCATCAAAAAGAATAAAATACCTAGGAATAAACCTAACAAAGGAGGTGAAAGACCTGTACTCTGAAAATTGTAGGATACTCATGAAAGAAGTTAAAGGCAAATAAATGGAAATCTATCCCATGCTCATGGATAGTAAGAATTGCCCAAATGGCTATCCTGTCCAAAGCACTTTCCATATTCCAAGGAATCCCTATCAAAATACCAATGTCATTTTTCAATTAGTACACATAATCCTAAAATTCATATGGAACCATAAAAGACCCCAAATAGCCAAAGCACTCCTGAGACAGAAGAACAAAGCTGGAGGTATTACACTTCTTGACTTCAGCTATACTACAAGGCTGCATTTTGGTACTGGCACAAGAAGAGACCCATAGATCAATGGAACAGAATAGAGAGCCCAGAAATAAACCCATGTATATGTGATCAATTAATAGAAGATAAAGGAGCCATGAATATACAAGGGGGGAAAGACAGCCTCATCAATAACAAGTATTGGGAAAACTGGACAGCTACATACAAGAGAATGAAACCGGATTACTGTCTCATTCAATACACAAAAGTAAACTCAAAATGGGTCAGAGTGTAGGGGGTGGCCTTTGTCTTCCCCCACATCTGAATGCAGAATGGGGAAGCACCAGCTTGAGAACAACTGGTGCCATCCTTGGAAGTTATCTGCCCACAAAAGCATATATTGTCCTCAAAAATGAGCCAGGACGCCTCACGCTGGATACAGGGAGACCTTGGGGATGTGTGCAAACACCACCCCTGCTTACTGGGAAGATTCTAAGAAATCAACAAGATGTTCTGACCTGTCCCCCCTGAGAAGGGAAAGATGAGTATAGCACTTGGTTGGGGTCCGAGAAAGGCAGTATGAAAATAAAAGAGCCGCGCCACATCGGGGCTGCTGCAGCCATTGTCGGTCTGTCCGTGTTGTGTTGTCTGTGTATTTCGTTCACTCCCATTTCACCCGAGCGAGCGGCACGCAACACAGAGACCTGAATGTAAGACATGAACCTGTGAAACTCTTAGAAGAAAACAGGCAAAAGTCTCTTGAAAATAAGTATGAGCAGTTTTTTCCTGGACTCTTCTCCTTGGGCAAGGGAAACAAAATAAAAAATGAACAAGTGGCACTACATCAAACTAAAAATCTTCTGTACAGCAAAGGACACCCATCAGTGTGGGAGGATATATTTGTAAACTATGTATCTGATGGGTTAACATCCAAAACATGAAGAATTCATATTCCTCAACACCAAAAAAAAAAACCTGAATAAAAAGTGGGTGGAGGTCTATCTGTCTTTCTCTGGACCCGAGTTCAGCTCCTGTCACAGCTAAAAAGTAGCATTTAGTCTGCACCTGGGTCCCCAGATCAGCGAGGCATTTAGAACCTGGCATTTTCTGGATTCTTTTTCCTCCCAGTTTGATGTAATTGTACATGAATGTATTGTCACAGCCCTCATCAGTTAAAACATTTATAGTAAGTAGTGACTTTTTTTTGGTATGTCTTTAAAATATTGGTTCTCAACTTGGGCTATACATTAGAATGACCCAGGAAGATTTTAGAAATATAGCATCCTGGCCCCACCTGCAGAGCTTCCTGTTAACGGTTGATCCAAGTGGAGTCCCAGCATCAGTATTAAAAAAGGAGGAAGAAAAGAAACTCGTCATATCCAGGTGATTCTAATTTGTAGTGAGAGTAGGAAACCACTGCCTTACAGCATGGTCCCCCTATGTTTGCTGACACACTGACCCCATTTTCCACTTCCTGCCGAACCTCTTTCCCAGCACAGCAAGGAATGTGTCTGTGTGTGTGTATCCTGGGGCAGATGGTGTCAGGCTGCTTCTCCTGAGCCCTAACTGCCTTTTTCTCAGTGGAAACATTCAGATATAAATATAGCTCCCTTCACAAACACTGGCACCTCTGTTTTAGAGCACTCAGTCTTTGGAAATAGACCAAAACCTGGAAAAGAATTCCAGTAATTTACGAAAAGGTTTTTAATGCTGCTGTACAGGATGCCGTTTCCTTCCCCTCTCCAGTGAGTGTTGCAGGGAACTGCTGCACACGGTCGATAACTACGCAGTGCTCCAGCTGGATATAGTGTGGTGTTACTTCCGCTTGGAACAGCTGGAGTGCCTCGACGACGCGGAAAAAAAATTAAACCTGGCCCAGAAATGTTTTAAAAATTGTTACGGAGAAAATCATCAGAGACTTGTTCACATAAAAGTATGTTACTCTAATTTGTTTTATGTATTATTGAGCCCATTTCTAGAATTTGAGTTTATTTCTGTTAAAGTATTTAGACTGCTGCCAGAAGGTGGTTTATTTTGATAATAGTGTGCAGCGTCCTCTTTTGGTGGTATATTTTAATGGGATGGTTAAATGTTTTACAGGCTGGGCTGTGACTTTGGACTGCGCAGTGTTTAGCCCAGAGGAACCCAGTTTGCTAGTCACAGGCCTCCACTGAGGGTCCCTCTGACCCAGAGGGTGGGTGGCTATGTTCTAGTGGAAGATTTAACTGCGGGAAGCAGACACTTTTGAAAGCAGTCGTTGACGTGAATGAGTCAGCTCAAGAGCTGTTATTTGAAAAAGGATTTTTCTAAGTTGATTTCCACAAGTCATCAGAATTCTGCTTGGAAATGGCAAGGCAGCATAAAATACCCCTCCTTTCGGGTTTTTGTACACTTCTCTACCAACCAGAAGGGCCGGGGTCCCGGGTGCCTGGAGAGGTGTTATGACACCATTCCTTCCTTGTGGGGCAGGGAAGCCATTGAACTCAGGGGCCTTCACTTTTGCCAATCAGTAGTAGTGACACTACAGACATTTTAGTAATGCCATATTGCCACTATGGAGATGAGGGAATTACAGATGTGAGTTTTATAGACATATAATCAAAAATAAGACAGTTGTATCTTTTTCCCCCCAATAATTTCAGGGAAACTGGGGGAAAGAGAAGGTGTTGTTTGTAAGGCTTTACTTGCTTCAAGGCATCCAAAATTACCACAGTGGGAATGGTGAAGAGGCTTGTGAATATCTCAACAAGGTAAGGAGACGAATACGCCATGGTTGTAGACATTTTCGCTGACTCTTTTTGTCCCCTGAAGTTAAGTATTTCATAGACTCAGTAGTTTGTGACTTCAGGGAAAATGTCCCATTCCCTCTTCCTCACATAGACTATCAACATATTTGTATTTGTTAGGGCTCAGCCAAGGTTTCCCCGTTACAGTGAGCCAGTGCTTGCATTGGCTAGAGGTTTCCTGGGCAGTGGGGCCGTTCTGCCCGCCCTGCTCCTGACAGTCCTCTGCCAGTGGTAGGGGGCAAAAGACGGCCCTGGACCAGCCTCTCAGAGTAATGTCCTGTGGTGCCTGTCACCTCTACATGCTGTTGGCCTACACTTAACCACCTGGCTGTGCCCAGCGCCAGGGGGGTGAGAAATGCCATGTGAACAGCTCAAATGCAGGGATTTTAGTATAAGAAAGGAGGAGATCATGGCAACCAGCTCCTCCCAAAAACTCGGCCTGTTTTCTCCTTTTACCTTAAGTATAAGTCATGGGAGCAGAGTTGTCTGCATTTGCACTAGTTGATAATAGGTCAGGTTTAGAGTTTTTGTCTAAAATCTGACACACCCTATTTCACATGGGTACAATCTAATTTCTTTCAGGCTTTGCTTTGTGTTAAGTTATAATGTTGCTATAGTTACATGATTCTTGTATTTTTCTGTCTGTAGGCACGTCAGCTCTTTAGAGAGCTATATATCGATCCATCCAAAGTTCACAGTTTGTTGCAGTTGGGGTTTACTGCCCAGGAAGCTCGGCTTGGCCTTAGGGCATGTGATGGGAACGTGGACCACGCGGCCGCCCACATCACCAGCCGCAGAGAGGTAAGGTGGTCTCGTGGCGGCGGCCTGGGCCTCTGCTAAAGTGTGACACTTGAGGCAGTAGTGAGCTTGCCTCTGAAATGCCTTACTTTCAGACATGAAAGAAAAGGATCATTCTAGGGTAGATACTGATAACAAGCAACCCTTTACCACCTCAGACTGAGAAGGCAGGAGAAACTTGTCTTTTTCAAGTGAAAGTAATTTCAGCAGTGCAGTTTCCTTATTTTCCTTCCTGCTATGGTGGTAGCAGCTCGTAAGTACAGTTACCAGGCAGTCTTCTCTCTCTCTCTCTTTTTTTTTACCATAGCATATTTCTGGAAACCATTTTAAAGGAGGCTGTGTTTTCCCCTGGGGCCATTGTTACAGTGTGGGTGGCATTCTTGCTCAGAAACAAGTCAAATCATAGGAACAAGTAATATGATATGAAAGCAAAGGTACAAAACTACAATCATTTAAAATAAATAGAAATCAGTAGAATAAAACAACTTTAGCTTATGGAGTTGGAGGGAATGCTGTCATACCTAATACGTTAGTTTTGCAGTAAGGTAGCTCTGGGCCAGAGAGACCTGGTGGTGGGACGTTGAGAGGGGGAGTTTTTTTTCTTCTCTAAAACAAGAAGTTAGCATATAGATTGTCTCACGGGTCCTTCCTAGCTGTAAACGTCAACCATTGAAGTCTCTAGAATCTTCTTGTGTATATATTCTTTTTTCTTCCTTTTTTGCTAACACCAGCATAATCCTGAAGGAGAAAAGCAACCATCTCAGGTGTTCGGCAGAGGGACAGGCGAGCGCAGTGTGCTCATTGGCCTGCCTGGTCCTGGGGAGAGGGGTTCATGGTTGGTCACATGGCCGGCAGCCATCTAAAGGGCTGTTGGTTTCTTCTTTTAAATCACCAGCTCTTAGTTACCCTTCTCTCTCCCAGACTGCCCAACATCTCTCCTAATCCTGGGCCCCTGGCTCTTGCTGTAGAAGTCAGTGAGTGGGTAAGGGCAGACCTGGAGAGGCTGGTGGCACCTTGTGGAGCCCAGGTGAGCAGTGGCCGTAAAGCAGACACTCTGCTGTGTTCACTTCACCATTGCTTCATTATGGGTAAGATTTTGTTAGCATTTGGAAAGCCAGTGTTGGAAATGAGATGGTTTGAAAAGTAATTTCTCCTTACATTAGATATACTTTATAGTTTATAAAAGATTCTCATAATCATGATGTCATTCACTTTGGCCTGTGACCACCTGTGAGGCCACTGGGGCAGATAATTCTCATTTTACAGATGAGGAAAACCGAGGCTCAGAGGTTGACGTTTTTGGGGTCATGTGTCAGTGGTAAAACCTGAACTAAGACTCTGGTTTCTTGTGCACTTTCCACCTGCCATCTGAAAATAGTATTCTGATGCGTTTTTACAAAAGGTTCTGAAAAGCCAAGAGAGAGTGTAAAGAGTAAAAGTTAACTACTTTACCATTACGATTAGCATGTATAGTGTGGGGGGGGGGGGCACGGGGAGGGCTGTGCAACAGAGAGAAGACAAGTAGTGATTTTACAGCATCTTATTACGCAGATGGACAGTGACTGTGAAGGGGTATGTCAGGGGGACTTGGTGAAGGGGGGAGCCTAGTAAGCATAATGTTCTTCATGTAATTGTAGATTAATGATACCAAAAAAAAAAAATGTTAACTACTTTACTTCCTAACTTTTTAAGTAGCAAAAATAAATGTCTTTTAAAAATACTGGCATCATATCATATATGCACATAATGAATTAAGCTATAAGCCCTGGAGACAGGAGAGGAGAAAACTGCAGTGCATACAGTGCAGTGGGCCCTGCTGACTCTTCACCCAGCGGCTGCCTGTCAGTAGGAAGCCTTCACGCGAAAGCAACAGAAAGCCCAGTTCTGCCCGCCCGCAACACCTCATGAAAGGGCAGGCGGGGGCGGGATTTAGTGGCCTGCCTCAGTGTAAGGAGGCCAGAGACAGCCTGCGCCTCGGGTCAGTTGATCCAGAGGCTTCGCCTTGTTGCTTTGTCTCTGTCCCCTGTGTCATCCCGGCACACCAAGAGCATAGCTGCATCCCAGGATCCTCCGAGAAATCCCCAGCTGCTCACTGGTTGGCTACCCTTAAGCCAATCGCTGTGGCCAGGGGTACGGGTAGGGAGCAGAGACGAGAATCCGGAGCAGCCCTTCTGAGGGCTCCCTGGAAGCTGGGCAGCCTCCCCCACCTGGGGAGGCCCAGGGTGGGCAGGGAGGAAGACCGGCACCGCGTCCCATGGAACTCACGCCCTGGAGCCCGCTGCCTTCTCTGTTCCTGAGGCCTTAGGTTTGAGCATCTCTCTGAGCTGAGGCTTAAACTAATTCTTAGAAGTTTGTCTTTTTTGTACAACATGGCCCTGTGAACAGGCCAGTTTCTCATCTGGCAAAATGAACCAAGACTAAAGGAACTGAGATCGCTTTCCATGCTGAGGTATCAGGAGGCCGAGAGGTGGCAGGACTGCCGATTGCTCATCCTGACCCTGCAGCAGCGGTCAGCCCTGACGGTAGAGCCAGTCCTCCTATCAGGTTGGACTCTACTGTACCCGTGTAATAGTCCAGTGCAATACTGTCATCTATTCGGTCTGTTTTATTTTTCTCATTCTTTCTAGTATAAAGGAAAGTATCAAAAAATACTTTCACTTCCTCATGTGTATCTACATGATTAAAAGAAAGCTTAGATATTTACCTAAAGAAAAGGTATTCTGAAACTCCAGCTTTGTGTCAGATCTGTGTTAGATGATGTCTGGATCCGGTGTCTGCTGGCTGGCAGCGTCTTGCTCTATGTTTGAATGTTGTACGTGTTTCTTAGCCTTTTGAAGCATAAACGGAAGAAGCTGAAACTGAAAGCGAAGTGTGTGGGACATGGTAAAGGCATTTGACACCAGCCGTATGTGTGTATGAAAGTCGGAATACGACTGAAGCCGAGTGATTTTGCTGCCCTGTGTGGCTGGTGTAGTAAAGCAGTGTAAGGTCAGCTTGGGGGTGTTGGTGGGGCCAGAAGTCAGAGCCCTGCCTGAGAATAGGGCGCTGCTGCCTGACTGGGCGGCTTGAGTAGGGGGCGAGGCAGGAAGCGTGAGCCTGTGGGTTTAGAGCGAGAGGCAGAGGCCGTGAGGGGTCGCTGCAGATGGAGCTGCAATGCCACCATTAGTACCAGTCGCCCACCAGGAAGTTGTCTGATATTAGACAGGAGACTACTGTCTAAGGATGCCTTCATCCCCGGAAATGTTTGGGGCATCTCTGCGTTCCGCCAATCCTCTTGCTGCCCCCATGGGAATTGTTGGCTCCATGGTGATGAGTCCACTATTTTCCTGAGAGACGAGACCACCCTCTTGTTGTGGCCAGGAAGGTAGAAGGGCCCTTGTTGCTTGGGCTGAGCCACGGAGGTAGGAGCGGCTCCGTCAAAGGGGAGAAGCTGCTTTCCCCAGTGCTCTCCTGGTGCCGGGGTGAGGACTGGCCACCCCCAGCACTGCCAGAAGCCTCGTCCCAGCTCTCCTGGCTGCAGCGACCTTGGCCAGGTCCTTTAACTTTCTTGAGAGATTTCTGTCTTCTCCTTGCAAGATGATAAGATTCGATTAGATTAGTGGTTTTCAAACTTGTTTTAATTTAGGTGTTTTGTTGGGTTTTTTTTAGCAGCAAAATCTTTTTAAAAATGACATTGGTTTCCAAAACAAATTCAGAGCACCCCTGATTGGGGCAGAGGTGAGAGAGGACAGAGACCAGGACCCCCCACAGCCCTGCTCAGGCCCTTACAGCGGCACCAGGCACCGCTGGGACTCAGGGTCAAGAACCGTGGTATTTGATGACCTTTGTCACCTTATTTGGATCATTCTGGAGGTTTTAAACAGACCAATAGGCCCTAAAGACACATAGTCATTGCTACCCAGAGTGTGTGGGTGGGTGAGCAGCCTTGGAGCCCCCGGGAGCCCTCGCCCCTCCAGAATCCACATTTTAATAAGACCCTGGTGGTTCCTCAAAGGCCGAGTAGCCTGCCCACCACTCCAGAAGCCCTTGGCCCCTTGCAGGACGAGCCTTCATCCCTGGGACTGGCAGCAGGAGCCCCCGGGTCCCCTGGGCCTGTGCTGGCGCTGGGCGCTGTGAACGCTCTCTTCCGCCCTGACCTGGGGCCCTGGCTCTGGCCCGTATGCCCGGGAGCAGCACCCACCGCCCCATGCGGGCCTCATGCTGTTGATGGGCCCACCCGCTCTTCTGGGGGGCAACCCTGTGAGTGCCACAGAGCACAGCGTGAGGAGGCTTCCTACCAGATCTCAGTCCCTAACGCAAGTGACTTTGCTGTTTTTCTAAAGGAGTTGGCCCAAATAAGGAAAGAGGAAAAGGAGAAGAAACGCCGCCGCCTGGAGGACATAAACACTTTGAAAGTTATGGGCTTCTCCACGCATGCCGCCCGGCAGGCCCTCCATCAGGCCAGCGGGAACCTGGACAAGGCCCTGAAGGTGACGTGCTCGGAGCAGCCCAGCTTGCGGGCTGAGGCACTGCAGTGCCCACTGCTCCGTTAAGCGCCTCTCCAGTGTCCTTCCGTGGTGCCTGGAGTCCCGCTCCTGTGAGCGGTCCTCCCATCCCTGTTTCAGATCTAAGGGGCCGCACTCTCTCCTCCAACCCCAGTGCAGGGCCAGAAGGCCAGGCCCCACCTCGGCGCCCACCCGCAGTCTGGCAGAGTGCACAGGGCAGGACCTTGCTTGAGGTTTCAGGTCACAGCAGCGTGAGGTTAACAGTAATGTGAAGATGATGATATTAAAGTTTCAGTATAATTTTTTTGAATTAGAATGTTTCATTTGAATATCTAGTTTTATTTACTTAGTTGGTAGTCCACAGTGGCCTAGGGACCTACAGACGACTGGGGAGACAGACACGGTTGAAGCAGGGTGGCCCAAGGGCTGCATGTGGGGGTGCGGCCTGTGGGGCCTCAGGGCAGCCTGGAGGGTGGCGGCATGAGTCCCTGGGAGCTGCGGGGACTGCCGAGGCAAAGGTCACACACCTGCCAGCGGAGAGGGGCCAGAGGTGGGGAGGCCGGGTAGGTAGCGGCCCGGGGGGCAGGTGTGGTCCTGACTGCCCTGCTGCGTAGTTCACCCGGGCCCCGTGGGTTGGGGGCCGGCCCTGCCTTTGCCTTTCGGTCTCCAGACCTCCTGTTCCTCAGAATCCCCACAAGTCGGTATTTTTTCAGTGTGTGTGCATGTACATATGTAATTAACTTAAAATGAATTTGAATATCCAGGCTAACTTCTTGTGTTAGAGAAATACAAAAGGCAGGGAACTCTGAATGTGCGCAGGGGCTGATAGAGCTCCAGAACAGTCACTATGCAAGCAGTGCATAAATACAGCTTGGTGTTAGAGGAAACATTCCCCAGAGGGGCTCTTTAAGGCTAAGAGTTCAGAGCTGTGTGACGGGGAATTCACGGATCAGAAGAACGGTGCTCTTCTCCCTGACACTGTGACCTAGGGCATGACCTTCCC